GTGTGTGTGTGTGTGTGTGTGTGTGTGTGTGTGTGTGTGTGTGTGTGTGTGTGTGTGTGTGTGTGTGTGTGTGTGTGTGTGACACACGTGTAGCAATGCGCGGGCAGCCTTCACACAATGCAAGCCACCACGATGAATGAGTGCACGCATCACAGCGACAGCGCGGGCGCTTACGGAATGTCAATGCCACGACCGGCCACATCTGTTGCCACGAGAATGTCCTTGTATCCTTCCTTCAGGCTCGCAAGCGCATGCTCACTGGGGAAACAAAAACACGGGAGGGAGGGGCGACGAGGCCCCCGTGAGCGCGCGTGAGCGAGTGATTCATGTCTGATACAAAGGAGCACAACCGCAAATACAAGTACGAAAACACAAACACCAGCAATCAATCACCACCACCACCACCACCACCACCATCACCACCATCACCATCAAACAATCATCATCGAGCCACCACCACCACCACCACCACCACCATCACCATCAATCATCATCGAGCCACCACCACCACCACCATCATCACCATCAATCAAGATCAAGGTGACCCACCGGACGTCCTGGCCCTTGCCGCCGTGGAGAGTGGCAGCACGGTAGCCCATTTTCTCCAGCGAGCGCGCCAGCACGTCGCACCCCTTCTTCTGGTTGACAAAGATGATGATGGGTGGCTCGGGCTCGGAGCGAAGAATCTTCACAAGCTCGTTGCGCTTGTTCTGCTCCGTTGTCAGAATCATGCGTTGCTCAACCTGCAGGGAGAGGCGAGCGGGAGCAGTGGACAGAAATGTGGTTTGTGAGCTGAAAAAAGCATCATCGAACAAAGCACATGCGGGCATGCACTCGCAAGCGTCATGGTGGTGGTGGTGGTGGTGTGTAAATGTGCATGCATGTGCATGTGCATGTGCGGTTTTGAACATCCAAATACATGAAATACATGAGAGCGTGTGCACACTGGTGTGCACGAGTACACACGTGCAAACACATGAGTGTGCGCAAACGTACGCGGTCGACGGGTTTGCCGACGGTGCCAATACGGATGGTGGCTGGGCGGCGCAGGTACGTGTTGGCGAGCTTCATGACAGCGGGCGGCATGGTGGCTGTGAACAGCACCGTCTGGCGGTACTTGTTCTTGTTCTTGATGTCCTGCAGCAGAAACGCTTCGTCCTCGGCTTCATCTGCACCATATTCAAGCGGCGGGAAGGGGGGCAAGTGAGACAGTAGGCTTGTGTGTGTGTGTGTGTGTGTGTGTGTGTGTGTGTGTGTGTGTGTGTGTGTGTGTGTGTGTGTGTGTGTGTGTGTGTGTGTGTGTGTGTGCGTGCGTGCGTGCTGGAAGGTGAAGAGCAAGTGCGAGACAGCCATGCATCAGTAGCGATGGAAACAGCACGCACGCAAACAGGAAACGCCACCACCAGCACCACTTTCAGCGCCACGGCAGCAAGGCACGTTGCGCACCTGTGTTTGGCTTCTGGTTTGTGACGGGGACGTGTTCGAGAATCTGCTGTACGGCGGGCTCAAAGCCCATGTCGAGCATGCGGTCAGCCTCGTCCATCACGACGTACGTGCACTGCAACGCGGTGGTGGCGATGAGACAAGTGGATGCGGCCACGTGTGAGCGGCGTGTTGGAAATGCATGAGACAGAGAGCGCAAACGATGTGCATACACATAGTTCAAAAGACACGCACACACACACACACACACACACACACACACACACACACACACACACACACACACACACACACACACACACACACACACACACACACAAACTCCCCTCCCCCTCTATCCCAGCGCGGCGGACCTGGTTGAGGACGAGGTATCTGTTCTCAAGCACGTCGATGAGACGGCCGGGCGTGGCAATCACCACCTCGCACCCCTGCCGGAGCTGGAACCCTTGCTCCTCCCTGCTCGCACCGCCAATGACGGCGACAGTACGCACGCCGAGCGGGTCCGAGAACTTGCGCGTCTGCTCCTCAATCTGCTGCACCAGCTCGCGCGACGGCGCCAGGATGATCGCGTACGGGCCGTTGTCAATGTCCTGCGGCAGTGTAGGGGGTGGAGTGGGGGGGGGGAGGGTTGAGATGAGCTGAACAGAGAAGGGGGGGGTGATGTGCAGTGCAAACGAGGGGGGGGGGGAGGGCGCAGAATGCACACACTGCAAAGCTTCGTACACCAAAACACACAAACAGACACACAAACACACATAAATACACACGCACACACGCACGCACATGCACAAACACGAACACACGCACACACATGCGCACAAACGCACACACACGCACACACGCACACACACACACACACGTACCTGTTCGCGCTCGAGTTTTGGCAGGGAGAGGATCCACTGGAGGAGCGGGAGGACAAAGGCGAGCGTTTTACCGGACCCGGTCTCCGCAACGCCGCAAATGTCGCGGTTGGTGAGGCCGATGGGCAGCGCAGCACGCTGGATCGGCGTAGGCTCCTTGAAGCTGTTGGGGTCGTCATGGAATTGGTGGTATGAGG